CATTCGTAGTCTTGTACGCACCAAAATCCCCTCCAAGATTTCCACTCCGCTAACTTCACTGTCTCTCCAAAACCCCCCACATCCCCTTCCCTCTCTCTCTCTCTCCCTTCGAAGCTCACCTTGTTCTCTTCTGGCGTTTCATTTTCCAGCCTTTTTACCCAAAACCCAATTCACTGCTCGTCCGCCATGGTTTAATCTCCCCAACCCATAAATCCCACCATGTATAACTCTTCTGTCGCAACCCAGGAACCCAGCCCGGTCTATGACCTCGTTTCCCGATTGGGTCGGTTCGCCTTCAGCTCAGGGCCTCACAGCAGTTCCGGTTCAGATGGGCACTCCTCGTTTTTGTCGAATTTCTTGTATTTCGACGCCTTTGGGGGTGCTTCAGGTGCCGGGACGAAGCCCAAGGTCGGTGTTTCAGCTTCACTAAGTTTGAGCAGTCGCGGCGGTTCGGGCATTCGGAGGGTTGTGACGGAGTTTAATCGGGCTATTCGGTTCCACTGTGAAAGATTCCCAATTGGGTTCGCTTCTGTTCGCGTCGGGTCCGGGGACGGAAATGGAAATGGGTCGGATAACGGCGTTGGGGACAATAACAATGTGTTGATAGAAGATGGCGGCGGCGTTAACGATAATGGGATTGCGTTGAATGGTGTGGAGGCGGAGAGCCCCAAGAAAGTATTGATTTTGATGAGTGACACCGGCGGCGGCCACCGCGCTTCTGCGGAGGCGATTAAGGCAGCGTTTAATGAGGAGTTTGGGGACGAATATCAGGTCAGTTATTCTGAATTGTGCTAAAAATTTCAACTTTGTTATGGAACTTGTATTTGGTTGTTTGACTAATGTAGAGAGAAATGGGAATTACATGAAAAAAGCAATGTAATAGCATAACACCATAGGGAGTAAGATCGAAAAGTATAATTTTTATCTTCTTTCCCTCAAAATTTCATTAATTAATGAGAATACTTGGGGGGAGAAAGAAAAATGGATATGTGAGTGTGCATATTTGTTGATCATGTTTTCAATTAAGAGTGCATATCGCAGGTCTTTGTTACTGACTTATGGTCGGATCATACGCCTTGGCCATTTAATCAACTTCCCAGGAGCTATAATTTCTTGGTGAAACACGGGCCGTTATGGAAAATGACATACTATGGAACCGCTCCGCGTCTGGTGCATCAGTCTAATTTTGCAGCAACTTCTACATTTATAGCTCGGTAGGAATTTGTTTTCATTATAGGTTAATGCTTATAAATTTATAATCATTTCGACTGTCTTTGTTGTTGTTGTAGTCTGTTTTCCAAGGTAGTTGTACATTCTTTTGCTTCATGTCATAGTTGACCACCATATCTTAAATTAAAATATAACACGCCTTTCAATTTTCGAATGGTTATATATTGCAGCAGCCGTTGACCATAAGTTTTAGTGATTAGAATAGCATTCAGGAATTTACAACTTTTTTAATCATGTATCTTATGCACTATAAGCTCATAAATTTCGATGGAAATGGCATTTTTGAGGACGAGATTGTATGCTGTTCTGGCAGATTTTTAAACCCTGTGAGGAAAACGTCAGATAGGATTACAGATACAGAAATGAGCAAATTTGTCCTACTATTCATGAGTTTTTCATATGTTCCGTCAAACCTTTCTCTTTTTTCACAAATATAACCGTGTCAAATTATGGCTCAAAGACAGCATTTCGGCAGTATGCCTTGTTGACATCCTCAAATTCTGTTTCGTTTTGTAGGGAGGTTGCCAAAGGACTGATGAAATACCAGCCGGATATTATTATCAGTGTGCATCCGCTGATGCAGCATGTACCACTTCGTGTCTTGAGGGGAAAGGGTCTATTGAAGAAGATAGTTTTTACCACAGTTGTCACGGATTTAAGTACTTGCCATCCTACATGGTTAGTTTTGCACAGAGCTCCTATTAGGAAACATAGCCTCCTTTTCCAAGCATACCTTCGATATTTTATGTTTTGATTTCCAGGTTTCATAAGCTTGTAACGAGATGCTATTGCCCAACAACCGAGGTTGCTAAGAGGGCATTGAAAGCTGGACTCCAGACTTCCCAAATCAAGGTTTATGGCCTCCCTGTGCGGCCTAACTTTGTCAAGCCTGTGCGACCAAAGGTTGGTTACTGATCAACATACTCTTTAACCTTGATGTAATTGTTGTACGACTAAAAGAATCGGCAAGTGGTGTGATAATAAAAGGGCTCATGAATGTTGATTGGAAATTTGAAATCAGTAGTTGTAAGCTGTCAATTGGATTTTGATGATATAAAGATAATACTCTTCTATGAGTTACGGTAAAAGCATTTGTAGACAGTGGTTTTAGATTGCACATTCCACGATCGCAGACCGTGGTTTTAAATAAATGTTGACTACCTTTGTCATGTTTGTTTATTTCAATGCAGGCTGAACTTCGAAGAGAACTAGGAATGGAGGAGGATCTTCCTGCTGTGTTGCTAATGGGAGGAGGAGAAGGAATGGGTCCTATCGAGGCTACAGCTCGGGCACTTGGGGATGCATTATATGACGAGAATCTTGGGGAGCCTGTAGGCCAGGTCCTTGTCATATGTGGTCGCAACAAAAAGCTTGCGAACAAGTTGCTTTCAATCAACTGGAAGATCCCTGTCCAGGTATTTTTATACCCTTTGAATGCATAGTCCGAAACACAGCATTAGATAAACAGAAGTTAGTATCTAAAATTGATTGACATTATAGGTGAAGGGGTTTGTTACTAAAATGGAGGAATGCATGGGAGCTTGCGACTGCATAATTACAAAGGTAAGTTTGTCAACAACCATAAAAACCATGACAGTCTTGTATATTTTGTTACCAACCATTTTGTCTACTTCTTTTTAATAGGCTGGTCCAGGAACTATTGCAGAAGCCATGATAAGAGGCCTCCCAATTATTCTGAACGATTACATTGCCGGACAGGTAATGGTGATGATATAATCTACTTTCCCTTGTGCTGCTCTGTTTTGAGAATCCCCTCACTGGAAAATGTAGCAAATGACCGTTTCTTCACATTGTAGGAAGTTGGGAATGTACCATATGTCGTTGAAAACGGGTGCGGGAAATACTCTAAATCGCCGAAAAAGATAGCAAGGATCGTTGCTGATTGGTTTGGTCCGAAAGCCAATGAGCTAAAGGCCATGTCGGAAAATGCATTGAAGTTGGCAAAGCCTGATTCTGTGTTCAAGATTGTTCATGATCTCCACGAGCTCGTTAGACAACGAAGCCTTGTACCGCAGTTATGTACAACATAACCATATGTTTCCCCAACCATTTTTGTTTACAAGTCCTCTAATCGATCACAACTAGGCTCTTCTTCCCTTCCCATGCCAATGCCTTGTTATAATTTCACATTTAATACAATCTATCAGGCTATCAGCATGATTGTCTTAATTTCTCAAGAACTCGTGCATCGAGATTAAATATGATTAATTTGCAGTAATTGTGATTAGACCGTGAACTCCTATATATACTTCAGAAAATGGAGTTGCCTTGGACAACAAGTCTTCTGCTCACTCATCCCCCATAGCTTTTCATTGCTTCAATGGCGCAGGAAGAGTTTCACAGCGAGTGGAAGATCAAGAAGGAGCTGACGGCTGCCGAGGCCGGAGGATGTTGCCTCTATTTAGACATGAACGACGTCGAGACGCATATATTTAGGTATTGGGACCGAAACAAAATCATAAGAGTAAACATAGATTCAACGCCCATCCGGGTAAAGGACGTCGACACCAATACCGTACACATACTACATTTTCGCATTTACAGGGAAAGGCGGACGGTCTTTAGGGATGGGCAATGGGTTCACCCATCCGCATCGCCGCCATCGTCATCACCACTATCGTCACCGTCAAAGGAAGTCATCTTAGGCTCAACGGATACCCAATGTCCAACCTTATTGGCTGTGTTTGAAGGCCACTGGCGTCTTAATTTTATTGAGCGTAGATCACTTGGTCCTGGTGATCAAATCGGGATATATTACGACAAAACAAACTCATATGAATTATGTTTTAGTGTCTTGAGTCGGAGAGAGAGTTACAAAGAGCTTGCAACTCGGTCTGGTAAAAACATCCCCCCATACACCCGAGGTCGCGATTTCGATTCCTCCACCCCATCAGAAGTATCAATAAACAAAAAAAGAAAAGTAGATATCAAGTAAAAGAAAGGAGAGCTAGATGAACTTGAAGATGTTGGATTATATGACTTGGTTTATCCATGCCTCCAATTTGCTTACTCATGCTGTTTATTTAAGTAATACATACAATCTTAAATCTTTCTCACTGGACTTTTTACTAATCAAGTGAAATGGACATTGTATAACCACCCAGTCCCCACAAATCTTAGAAGGATAATATGCGTCTACAATTTGATTCTCTTCATACTATTTATTGTGTTAAATCATTACCGTCAGTTTTAACGGGATAGTAAACACGATAAAATAATCCAAGTTATCTGCGTATGAACAAAAATAGAATATCATTCAAACTATATTGAAAACGTAATTTAGCCAAAACAATTTTTTTTTCTTCTTTTTTTTACTTAACCGATACGAGGAAGAGAAGTTGAAACCGAGAATTTTAAATGTAAATTAAACATTTTTAACCGTTGGAACTATAGGATAAAATAATCCAAGTTATATGCGTATGAACAAAAATAGAATATCACTCAAACTATATTGAAAACGTAATTTAGTCTAAACAATTTTTTTTTCTTCTCTTTTTGACTTAACCGATACGAGGAAGAGAAGTTGAAACCGAGAATTTTAAATGTAAATTAAACGTTTTTAACCATTGTTACCATACGTTTTGGACAAACATTTGTCTTAACTCTTAAATAAAATAAGCATTGCAGTGAATGCATTAATAGAGTGCCACCTTGAAGGAAGTTTAGTTGAAACGGCACCACCTGTCACTCTCATGAACTGACTGCTGACACACTCAGCAAGAAAAATGGAAACTTGAATGCAAATCCACTTTCTTTGACGCCACAAAAATGAAAGTTAATAATCTTTCTTGATTTCTACGATTTCAAACTTCCGTGGTCACGGTTTTACCCAAAGAACCAAAATTTGGTACCAAAACGAAACGAAAAATCCAAAACCCTCGAGCAAGTTTCACAAAATCGGATTGTCCTGCTGCGTGTGGAGCATTTCAGAAGATGTTGATGTTTTAGCCGATTTTGAGATTAACCCGGTTCCTAATTTGGGTCGACTTTGCAAAATCTTTGGGGTGGTGTTTTTGATCATGGGTTGGAAGTACAACGCCGGTTTGGGGTTGATTGGCACGGTTGTGTTCATCTGGGTCGCTTCTGCAGAGGTTACTCAGGTTTGTGTTCATCCATTCTTTTTCCAAGTTGATTCTTTCTTTGTTTTTTTTTTAAAGTTTGATTCTTTGGTTAAGGCAGTGTGCCTGCTGTCTTGCAACCGAGTTTGAATCTCCGCTCCGTTGGCTAGATTAGTTTAGAATGTCGCCTTATTAGTCCTCACTATTCCGTTCTGTATTTCTTTGCGGACAAATGAGATGGACGGTAGGTATGTTGAGCCAATCACGGACGTGCGCTATGACTCTCCCAAGTGGCAGTGTGTGATTGAATTGAGATACCGCTACAACGGCATCCTCGTGTTCTTTCCCTTTTTTATTGGGGTGATGTTTCTTTGAGGATTTGTTTTGGTTAGAGAAGATTCTGTTTTAGTTTCTCTCTTATTTTCGTCGAAACAAATGGAGGCTTAGTTACATTATCATGGTATTCTCTCATTAAACTAGATATTTGGAAGGATGTGTTTTCTATCGCTGTGATTTGAGCTTATCTTTGATGTTAAACTTGTACTGTTTTTTAATGCAGAGAATTTTCAGCAAGTACAAACAGCCATTTTCGCTCACTTATCTCGGTGTGTCTCTAATGGTGGTTTATCTGCCCATATCAGCTTTGAAAGATTGGCTCTGCAACTTATTGGACCGAAATTTAGTTAAGAACTTTTGCAATGTCAGTGCTCTGTGCACCTCAGTCGGGCTTGATATTCCTCTTAGAATAAATGAAATGCCCCACGTTCCAGAAACAGATGTTAGAAGCTGCTTAATAACTGACAAAGATCTTAGTAACACGGAAGAAGGGCGACCTCTAATGGATAAGAGTGAAGAAGATGAACCTCGCATGCTTGAACACAGTCGTCAACTTAGTCCATGCGAAATTGCAAAATTTGGCTTGATTCTTACTCCGTTGTGGTTTATCACAGAGGTACCATGAGTCATTTTGGCACCCCTGTTACTCATATCAACCTTTTGGAATTCTATTCACATTTTAAGTTACGTTGCGTTAAAAGAAATGAAATCCGCTTGGTGCTCTTGGTTCTTTTGATATGCATGGATTCGTTTTATGCTTTAAAAAAGTTCCAAGTGACATATTGGTATATCTTTGTTCTAATGCAGTATCTGTCGAACTCTGCACTGGCAAATACCAGTGTTGCAAGTACAACTGTCCTAACTTCTACATCGGGGCTCTTTACACTTTTCTTTGGAGCTCTTCTGCATCAGGATTCCATAACTATTGCAAAGATGGTTGCTGTTTGTGTCACCATGGCTGGTGTTGCCATGACCACTGTTGGAAAAACTTGGGCACCTGATGAACTGCTGAGCATATCTGAGTAAGTTTCTAGCCAGTAGGAATTACTTTTTATTCATATTTTACCATCGTTTCACTGTATCTTGTTCTTTGTTGCGTAAAGGATTAGAAAGCACTCTATAATGGGAGATATTTTTGGTCTTCTCTCAGCTGCGTCATATGGATTGTTTACAGGTGAGACATTACATTTCAGGAATCCGGTGGTACTTGAACTCTTTCACAAATATATATCTGAGACACAGTTAAATTATTTTTGGATTTATGATTATTGAGTTACTGGTCTAATACCTGCAGTGTTACTCAAGAAATTTGCTGGATCAGAGGAGAAAGGAGATAAGGCTGATGTGCAGAAGCTTTTCGGATACATTGGTCTCTTCACTGTGTTTGGTCTGTGGTGGCTCGGTGAGTAGAGTAATTATTCCATTATCTATTTATGTCCACATACAGTCATGGATTTTAGGCAAAACTTGATAGCTAGATCATTGGTTGCCAGAAGGAGAATATTAGTCGGACTATATCTCAACCATTGGTTATGATTTTCACACTAGAATACGACCGACCTGATTGCACACAATGCTTTTTGTTCAAAGTTCGGAAAGAAAAGTGAATACATATTGAAGTCTCTTCGTGGTTTGAAATGGAGAGGTCTCACAATGAAAAGACAGCACTTGCCCTCGGGTATATCATTTGGTTCTCTTTGAGTTGCATCGCTCACAGGCTCACAGCAATGTTTTCTCATGCAGTGTGGCCGCTCAATGCCATCGGGATTGAACCTTCATTTGAGTTTCCACATTCAAAATGTATTGCCGAAGCTGTGCTGATAAATGGCTTTGTTGGGAGTGTTCTTTCGGATTATTTTTGGTATGTAAAACTGCACACACATTGGTTCGAGTATGTTGTGTGGTGGCCAAATCTACACTCGAATTCTCTATACTTCCTGCTTCTGTTTTTTCGTCTATCTATGAAGCTACAAGATGCTGATGCCCATGCTTTTAACATGAAATGAAACTTCGACAGGGCTCTTTCCGTGGTTTGGACATCTCCATTAGTTGCAACGCTGGGCATGTCCTTGACAATTCCACTTGCAATGGTAGCCGACATGGTGATTCACGGCCGCCATTTTTCTGCACTCTACATCTTTGGTTGCGTTCAGGTACGCCACGCTACTGTATCATGTACACATTCAAGTTTCTAACATCTAACCTCACGTGGGTTGGGGAAGCATATCAAGTAGCGTTGAGACGGAGCTCCTAACTGTGTAGTCAGTTTTTGTGACAGTAAGTATTACGCTAACTGCGTTTCTTTGAACTCAGGTTTTTGCAGGATTTGTGATGGCAAACGTTTCGGACAGGTTCTCGAGCAAGCAAGAGTTGCAGTAGTGATGCATAACAATCTCAATCAAGTTGTAGTTTGTATGTTTAATGAATACGTCTATCACGTTTGTAAAGATATACGGGAAAGATCAGACATTGTATAAAACATACAAACTTGTATGAATCTCTCTCTCTCTCTCTCTCTCTCTCTCTCTCTCTCTCTCTCCCTCTCCCCTAGTCATCACAGAAGCTTCATAAACAAATTTCAGCAGAGTTTGACAAAGTTTTGGTAATTCATTTCTTGTTGAAATGTTATAAAATTACGTTTTAGCATTTTATAGAGTTTGTTTGAGATTGTTTATGTGAGAATGCACTTTTATTTTGTGGAAAAGCACTTCTAGTTCCACTTGACAAGTGCTTCAACAAAATACTTATTTATGAGCAAGAAGTTTTTGTGTTGAACTTAATTAAAAATGTTTTTGTAAAAATGATTTAAATTGTCGGCCTTTATTCTGTTTGATTTAACAAATCAGAAAATGAAAATTTGTACAGAATTACACTTTGAGTCTAATAATAATTTAATAATTAATATTGAACACGCAATTCATAAGACTTGAACGTAAAATCTTCACTTACACAGTATGACAAAATTTCGACCTATTAAAAGGGCTAGCATAAATAAATAAAATCAAAGTTTATATTTTAATTAACAAAATAAAAATCGATCGAAGATTGAATCCGCCACCAACTTTACTTTTAATCGGATTTCCCCAAAAAAAAAAAAAAAAAACAAGTAAAAAACAAAAAGAAGCAGCGGAGATTGGAGAGTGCCGACCCGAGGCATTGAGAGTTGAGCGCGTATTGAAATATTATATAGTCGGATCAAATCGAAGAGTGGCGCTGCGACTCTACTGCTGTAACTGCGTCGGAGAAGAAGAAGAGGACGGCGACGATGGATAAGGGAAAGGGAGTGATGGGAGCAGGTCGGAGATGGGCCGTTGACTTGACTGACAACTCAACCTCCCCTTCTTCCCGCGACTTCGCCGACCCCCCTGGCTTCTCTCGCGCCTCCCTCGAACAGGTTCCCTCTCTCTCTCTCTCTCTCTCTTGCCTCGTCGTTCGATTTGGATTTGTATTTGGATTGGATTTATTCCCAATTGATTGGATTTGGGGTTTTTATTTTTGTGTAGGATGATTCGACTGTGAGTCGCCAGAAGAAGGATGCCGAATCTACTTGGAAAGCTCAGGTACTGATTCCCCTCCCTAAATTCGAATTTATTTTAGCAAATTGGATTTAGGGTTTTTTAGACTTGGGATTTCAGACAATTTTATGGGTGAAACATTGTACCTTTACCTTTAACTTTATAATAATCACTTGATCGCAAATTGGGCATGATTTAAATTGCTGATGGATTACAATTGTACCTGTTTTTCTGCTGAATTTTCTTGATCCCTGTTAATATTCACGAGAATGCAGTGATATTCGATGGTTTGAATTTATGCGATCTTATGGTTTCTTTGTGTTTCTGCAGAAAGCTTGGGAAGTTGCACAGGCCCCATTCAAGAATTTGATGATGATGGGTTTCATGATGTGGATGGCTGGGAATACAGTGCATTTGTTTAGCATTGGAATCACATTTTCCGCTCTTTGGCAACCCATAAGCGCCTTACAGGGTGTAGGGAAGGGTAAAATGATTCTTATTCTGTTAGTCGGTCTGTATGTGTGGAATTTTCAGTTGTAGGGGAAGAGCACGATTGAAAGCAATATAGAACTTGAAATCCTGTATTGTTCTTGCTTGTCTATATTGCTGTCTCATCATATGAATGGTTTCCGATAACCATCAGTCATGGACTTTGGGTGTTAATGTATTGTTCCATTTTTTTGTCTCGCTCAATATTTACAAACCAAATTTTAAAAAACGACCTTTATATCTATTTCCTTGTTTTGGTTCATGCTTATTTTAATGTGGTTATGCAGTTTTTGAGCCCTATAAGGACGGCAAAGTAGATCTTATTGCCCCAAAGTTGCTCTTCATTGCCCTTAATTTAGGGGGTTTAGCATTGGGTGTCTGGAAGGTGAACTATATTTGTTATCCTTTAAATTCTTCACCCCACTATGATTATCTTGACGAAATCCAGTTTATTAATTTTTTTTATTTTCCTTGGCAGCTTAACACCTTGGGGTTGCTTCCTACACATGCATCGGATTGGGTTTCATCCTTACCCCCTGCTCAGGTAAAACTCTTCCTCCTTAGCGATTGAATTACATCTGACATGTGGTATTTTCTCATTTTATTTTGAACCATCCCATTTGTTGTAGAAATTTCAGCACCACTACATTTTCCCTAAGCAGTCGAAATCATGGAACCATTGATTGACTTATGCTGCTTCATCCAAAACTTTCTTTGATACTGAAGTTGATTTAGTAAATGGTTCCTTGCAAAAGAAAGTTTCTTGTAGCGGAGAACTTTCCCTTGCTTCCTCTTCTTGTAGGAAGGGAAAATATTATAGGCTGTCCATAAGATTAAGTTCGTCACCAAAAGTTTCTAAAGCAATTCTCCAGCATATGATAAATAAAGAACCAGGCAGCTGTGTGAGCTTTTGAGTCGGTTAGCAACATAGCAGCTAGGTGGAGGTAGTTAGAGAGGATAATTTGAGATATATCAAGGAAGTAGATGAGGTAGATCTTGCAAGTTTTGTAAGCTGTATGAGTAACAAAGAACTGTGTTGGAAATGTTTCAATGAAAGTTTACGAGGAAATTCAGTCCCCTGGTGGGAGGATTATGTTTGTTTTTCTCTCTACATGCACACCCGTGGCCCAAATACACCCAAACATATCATATCAAACACTTGTGTGCACTTGGTAGTCTGGAGCTTGTTGATAGCTACAAACTCCTCATATAAAACTGTGCAAAAACTTGTTTATTGCACAAATCATACATGTCCTTTTGGTAATTGTCATTTTCTTTTTAACGTGTAATTTACTCTTGCACTCCATTTTGGCCCTAATTCCATCGGCGTCATGGTTATCTTTCTTGGCGGCAGAACTTCCGCTTGCTGTTTTCTAGCTGTAATCTTAGGGCACTTTTGAACATTTTCCGTTTCCCCGAATTTCAGGAGGTTGAGTATTCAGGCGGTGGCATTCCTCTGTATTGACAAAAATGTTCGGTTGGGATGGCTGTCAATCTCGAGAAAAGGTGAACGGCAACTTGCAGAAGCAGGATGAGAATTTGTTGCTCTTTACTGGCCGATGGCGCATGGCTAAGCCTGGATAATGTGATTTTTCCGACTTCTGAATGATTTTACTTAGTTTTGTTGGCAATAGAAAACTCAGTTTGTAGTTCTTTTTTAAGCGACTCAAAGAATTATCATACCATCTATAATTTTAACGCTTCCATATGAATTATCATACCATTTATAATTTTAAAGGAAACTGATGAAAATGACTTGAAAACTTTGAGTTTTAAGGATAAGGACAAAATAAAGGATAAAGTGAATAGTATTATGATTGATTCTTTAATATAAAAATGTAGTTTTTCGTTAAAGTAAATAATACCGGAAATTTTTTATTAAAGTTTCCTAATTTTAACACTTCCATTTGGGCTAGCAGTTCACGAGGTAATCCGAATTAAATTATGCATTTATTGGTAAATCAGTGATAATTATTACTTAATTTATAAATTTTAATTTACAGAAAAAGAGTGAAATTCAAACTTGATTGTCTATCCATCAGTATCATTTTGATATTGACTAAGGCAGAGCCTTTGTCCAAAGGAAAGGAATCCTCTTCGGATCTTTTCCTTTTAATCCATCAGAGATGTGGACGGTTGAAATTTGATTCAACTGTTAAATTATTATAATAAGTTTTAAAGTGGATCCTTATTTGTAGCCTATGGATCAAATTTCAACGGCTTTGATCCTCGGACTTGGTGGATTAGAAGGAAGAGATCCACTTGTCCAAAGGCCTCTTATTTTTCCATCAAAATGAGAACCAATTGTAGAGTTCATCCCACCTCGAACTTCAACGATCTAAACTATTTGTTTTTTTAGTCTCCATTCATAAATTATTTTTATAAATAATTGATTCAATCTGAATTAATTGACTTATTTAATTGTCATGATGAAATGTTTTTTAAAACGCAACATTTGTCAATTTTTTCAACTTTGATATATTTTGCAAGCGTCGCCGTCATCCATAAAGTATAACTTGAAAAGTGGACGCTTTTGATTGCTAAAATTCAATATTTATCCATAAATAGCCTGTTGGATGAAGTAGGTTGAATCCAAAATCATTGCCTTATAAATAAAAAAAGGAAAAATATAATCAGAAAAACAAATAAAATGTTCTAACTTTCAATATCCACCTTTCCTTTTTCCCTAGTAAAAAAAATCTGGAAATAAATTATTTTAATTTTGGTTGGCGAATAACTTAAAAGAACAGGCGATCGACAAATCGAGCATTCATCTACTCCGATACCCAACAACCTCCAAATTTTCCATATTTATAATCGTCGCCCTCGCCAACAGTAATCCAATACAGCGATGGAGTTTACTGCCCAGCAGCTGATCCAGTACAACGGCACCGACCCATCGAAGCCCATATACGTGGCGCTCAAAGGCCGCGTCTTCGACGTCACGGACGGCAAGTCGTTTTACGGTCCCGGAGGGCCGTACGAGATGTTCGCCGGCAAGGACGCCAGCAGAGCTCTGGCGAAGATGAGCAAGAACGACGAGGACATCACCGCCTCCCTGGACGGCCTCACGGAGAAGGAGATCGGCGTCCTCACCGACTGGGAAAAGAAGTTCGAAGCTAAGTACCCAGTTGTCGGCCGCGTCGCTTCTTGAAAGTCTCTGCCTTTGGTCAAATTTAAGGGTTAATTGTATGTCGTTCGACGCAAAATAAGTGCTTTTGGGAAGTTCTGCTTCTGGGTATGTGTGATTTTTATCGTTGTATGTGATCTTGGATGCTGTTGTTTATGTTTAGTTGCCATGGATGGATATGAATAAATAATTAAATATTATGATTGTGTGAATTTGGATTCATCGATAATAAGTTGTGTTCTTGGATGAATTTTGACTTATAGGTTGAGTATTGGGCAGATTTGTGCAGTTTTATCCAGCTGAACTAATTGTATCCCTAGTGTTGTATGGATTATCTGCGTTTTCCCTGTATTGGTATTTGGTAGTGAGGGAGGTCGGATTAGGGATGGGCAAATACCCATGGGTAACCGTGGTTATCTGTTCATTTAAATTTCGCGATTATGGGCAACTGTTTAGATAATTAAATGGGTATGGGTATAACCGTTTACCGGTAAAATTTAAATGGATAGTTATGGGTATTAACCGCGGTTATAACGGATAGCCGTTTATTTTAATAGATATATAAAATTCTCATGCTTTGAACCATTTGCTAGTATTCACCTCTCGGTATTTCTGGACTAGGAAATTGGTCCACAATATGTCAAGTTGGCATGTACAGAATGAAAAACTTCATTCTCGATTCTACGAGAATTTTTATGAAAGCCTTTCATTTGCTTCTCTTCGATGGAAGTTTTATTTTCCCAGAATGTATCCTAATGCATTCAGACTTAGTAACATTCCTTGGAATCTTTCAGGAAAGCTGAAGATTTTAAATTTCTGTTTCTCTTAACGTTGCACTGAGGATTGCTGAAAATTTTGGATGTAGACTATACTTCTGAGTTCTTGTCTTGCCAAATTTGCATACTTTATGATATGATTGGATGTAGATTATAGTTCTAAGTCATTCTGACTCCGAATGATATATCAAGGGTTCATGTAATCTTTTCTTAAAGTTTTGATGGAGATTAGTAATTTCATTGTAAATTCTCATGTTTTTTGTGATAATGACTACCTTGAGTTTTCAGAAGCTTTACTTTGTAATCATATGAATGTTATAATTGAATAATTGCTTGGGTATGGAAGAAAAATATGTCAAAAATACATGAATTTTCTTTCCAATTTGCTTGCTCAAGTAATGAGAGGTATTTTGTTAGTAAAAAATCAATTATTAGCAAATATATTATATTACCTTGATTGATTAAAACTATTGTTCGTCCTTATTATTTCAATTATTGGAGTTGTATACGGTTACGGTTAAAAAAAAATGTAAATAGGTGCAAAAAAGGGTAAATGGGTTAAAAAATGGATAAACGGGTAAACGGGTATATGATTACGGTTAAATGGGTACACGGTTATGGGTATGATTAATCATTTATAAATGGTTATGGGTATGGGTATAATCATTTAGGCAATTACCTAACGGGTAAACAGTTATGCGGGTATGAGTATAAATGATTATTGGTAAATAACCGCGGTTACCCGCCCGCTATAACCATTGCCCATCCCTAGGTCAGACTTCCACTCGGATTCCATTGAGGCGGTGTCCCAAGTCAATCATGCGTTGCCATTGCCATATGAGCAAGTTAAACACATAACAAATTGGCTTGAGATACTACCACAGTGGTGCTTCGGGTGCAGGTAAGTTTCTCTCGTAATGAGTGCTGTACTATTGTTTATGGTGTTATTGTAAATAGGCATGAAATATAAATAGTGTATGAACAAGATTGTAGTTTGGTGATCTCGGTTGACGTCTGCTGGTTTCGATTTCTTGGGTAATGGTTTTGTTTCTAAATTTTACCAAGTCTGCTGCTGGAATTCAGCAGCAGAAGACTTATTTAGCTAACTCGTCGAAAATGTGGACAATTAGAGTTTCAACATGTTGGCAATTACTGGTTTTGGTCCTTCAACTTGCCATATCAGTCAATCTCTGCAGGTCCTTTTCTTTTGGTGTTCCTCACCAGCAGCAGTTGAAGGGTAATTCTGTTCATAGGCTTAGACCTTGTAAAAGTGTAAACTGAATGTATAAACTTGTATTATATGCTTGGTTACTTCTTGTCATTGCCTTTTGTTTTGTTTCTATCAGATACATAAATTTTAGATGGAACAAAACTGGACTTCTGCCAGCTCTTTTAGCTGTTTATGGAGATTGATTAAGGCTAGTTTTGTATTGTGCGTGGTCTTCTATGTTTTCGGGACGAAAATCTTAAGCAACATCTGCCAATACACAAGTTCTTAGTGTGGAAATGGATCATCTATGCAGATTGCAGTGCTTAGTGCATTCGAGGGTAGTTTTACAGAGTTTATGCTTGTGATTGCAGTAACTCAAAATGTGTTGTGAGGAATGTGCTCAAGATGCCCATATTGCGCCAAAATCTTGGGCAATCGGGTGTATATTTCCTTGTGCCTATCTTTCTCTCGGCACATGACACATCACTCGAGGAGGGAATTAAGCTTAACAGATATAATCTGAAAAGGAATTGGTTGAAATAATCATTTTCTAAATCTTAGTTGCTTGAGATGATAAGATTTCGGTATGTCGTTAATATCTATGTGATAATAAGTTGTCAATATTTAATTTTGATTAGTTAAGCGATTGAAATTTGATTTCTGAAAACTTAGGAAAAGGTTTAATCAAACTAAATCCAGGATAAAATCCACTTCCATAACTACAAAATTATCATGAAATTCCCACTTTATTTTTTTATTCGGTCAACACGAAATTCCGGTTCTAGTAAGGCCAAAAGGCCCAAAACCCTACAATACATAATGGTGGCATAAGCATTGTCGCCTAGCTGTTGGACAGGTCCTGATCACTTTGATCATGTATTTAACGGTTCTGATCTCTCTTCATTATTTGTACATTTGATTGACTAAACGCTCATTGATTAGTGATTATAATAATTTTAAGATCTCAGATTGTAAATGTGTTTTTCGAATAAAAATTAAGAAATTAAATGGTTCTTATTACAAATTTTTTTCGATCAAAATACTTTATTCGGAACAAAAAATAAGCACATTCCAAAAAGGAATGCAAGTATTATCCATGTTTGCCTTGAATGTGCAAGTGTCCATTCTTTTTGTTAAGGTTTCCAAGTATTTTTTGTGAACATGCTTTTTCTAATTATGTGCCTAAATAGCCGTCTAGTGATATTTTTCTTCACTTATAAGTGAGAGTTTTTAAGTTCGATTATTGTTAAAAGAGAATTTGAACCACATTATTGCGAGCTCATTGTGAAGTTAAATCCACCACTCCTTCTTGTCATTTGTTAAAAAAAAAAATCTAACAAATTAACAGTTGAGTCATGTTTGCACGACTTGATAACTTTAAGAGTTCGAAATCAAATTGAAAAGTATGAGGGCGAAGTGAAAAGGTATTTTTCATTGTGCCCTGGTGAACTAAAAAATCTCCCCAAAGCGAAACACTATCCAAAGTTTAAGGAGCATTCTTAAATTTAATCCTATATTTTATTTAATACAAATTGAACTTTTAAAATTTCTTATTTTCTAAATAATTTTCCTTTCCTTTTTTCTTTTCAATATTCTGAGTAGAATTCATATTATACAGTATACTGCATGATGAGTCGGTCGACAAAATCATAATTTTATGCCCAAAAAGCACCTTCTTCATCCTCCCTCTTCCTCCAAGTCATCCCCAAACAGATTGCAGAAAAGTCACTGCCTCTCTCTCTCAGCTGATCCAAATTTCTTCTCAATCTCTTAACTGCAATATTGGATCTGCTTTCACAAATCTTATTACTATTGGGTTTATTAATCTATTAATTTTACCATTTTTTTTTTAGTAAAGTTTTGATCTTTCTGCGATTTCTAACAAATCGAACCTTCCCCTTCCCAAAATCTCCATCAAAACATGTCGACGAGGAAGCTTTCATACACAAACCCAAAACCCTGCAACCACCTCTCAGCTTACAAGCTCAAACATGGCTGCAACGGCTACAAATCCCTCCAGAAATCCCTCAAATCCGCCCCGAACGGAAGAACAAGCGTTCGGATTCACGAAACAAAGATACCCAGATGCAGTTTCTGTAATGGGTTCGAAGGTAGACTCTATGTTTGCTTGATTTGTTCTGCGGTTTCGTGTTCGAATCACGCAGTTCTGCATACCCAGTTGGAAATCGGCCACGAGTTGGCCGTCGATGTCGAAAGGGCCGAGCTTTTTTGCTGTGCGTGTACCGATCAGGTCTACGATCCCGATTTCGATAAGTCTGTCATGGCTAAGCACATGCTGGACTTGCCTTGCAGCACAAACAATGCGGATAGTATAGGGGAGAGACTGTGTGAGAGGAAGAGGCTGGGGGGTTCGGGTGTCGAATTATCAGAGTTTAAAAAGCCGGAAAAATCGTGTTTGGTGAGGGATCACAGAGCGAAATCGTGTTATCCGTTGGGTTTGAGGGGGTTGAATAATTTGGGGAATACTTGCTTTATGAACTCTGTGTTGCAAGCACTGCTACATGCGCCTCCTTTGAGGAATTACTTCTTGAGTGATCGGCATAGCAGGAGAACGTGCCAGAAAAGGACGGCAAACCGGCTTTGTTTGCCTTGTGAGCTTCACGGTGTTTATTCGGCTGTGTATTCGGGCGATCAGACTCCTTATAGCCCGGCTGAATTTCTTTACAGGTCTGCCATTGCTCTCTGTGTGTGATCTTTTGTTACAGAGTATCGTGCCGAGTTTATAATGCTTAATTTTTTGGTTTGTGGATTGATTTATATTCGAGTCTTTGTGTCCGCAATCTGTTGCTTCTAAAGATCCTTTGATAAGTTCAAGAAGTATCATAGTGGTATTTAGCACTGTAGATGAAGTTTAATAACCCATAAGTCGTGAAATCGCTTTCCTGCAAAATGCATAATGTTTACGTCTAATTAGAAATCACATGGATTCGCTGCAAATGATGGCACCATTTTTGTCATATGGGATCAATTCCCTATATGTGATTTGTCGCTAGATTCGTTGTTAGTTCTTCTATGCTGAAATATTATTGTTTTTGGACTGATAAAATTTTTCTCTACTTCAAGTTGGTGGCAGCATTCGGAGAATCTGGCAAGTTACGAGCAGCAGGACGCTCATGAGTTCTTCATTTCAGTGTTAGATGGGATCCATGAGAAAGAAACCAAAGCAAGGAACCATACGAAAGGTAATTATAGGCGATCAGATGAGTTTTAGATCATACATGTGAAATGGTTTGTTTTTACGGTGGTCAACCGTTCGCTTTTACTTATGAAGTTATCCTTTGTTTCACAGATAGTGGAGACTGCCAATGTATTGCGCATAGGGTATTCTCAGGACTGTTGAGGTCGGATGTCACTTGTATGACTTGTGGATTCACCTCGACAACTTATGACCCGTGTTTGGACATATCACTCAACTTAGACACAAGCCACTGTTCTTGGTCAGATGCATCTAACAAGCCTGCCAAAGCGAATGGCAGCAGCAGTTCATCCACTCTTTTGGGTTGTTTAGACTTGTTTACAAAACCAGAAAAGTTGGGGTCAGACCAGAAACTGTACTGTCAGAACTGTCAAGAACCCCGAGACTCTTCGAAGCAAATGTCCATCAGAAAGCTTCCAATGGTGTTGTGTTTGCATATAAAACGGTTTGAGCACTCCCTGGTCAGAAAGATGATGAGGAAAATCGACAGCTATTTGCATTTTCCATTCTCGCTAGACATGACTCCCTATCTGTCTTCTTCGATTGTGAGGAACAGATTTGGTAATAGAATCTTTGCTTTCGAGGGGGATGAGTCTGGGATGTCTACTGAGTTTGAGATTTTTGCAGTAGTTACTCATTCTGGGACACTAGATTCCGGCCATTATGTGACGTATTTACGCATACAAGACCAATGGTACAAATGTGACAATGCTTGGATTAATGAGGTCGACGAGGGGTTTGTAAGAGCTTCACAGTGTTATATGATGTTCTATGTGCACAAGACGCTTTACTATAAAGCAAACATAGATTTGCGTCACTTGCCGGTTTCCACACAGAAGGAGGCATTTCAGAGGATGGCTGGTTGCTGCTAATAGAAATGTTTCGATGTACAATCGAGGCAGGGTATGCAGTTGCGAACCCAGTGAGAAGGAGGACTGCGTCTGCCGAAGCAACCTCGTCATCAGATCCCTTCGGCCTAAGGAGAGCACACGATCACGTGTTGGATGGTTGCGGAAAGGCATCATCAAATTGCAGATTTCTAAAGACGACCATGATTTGAAGCAGAGATACATAAATACACAAGTTACTGGGTATTTTGTGAGTGGATTTTGGGACTACTGATGGGACCAATTTGAAAAATTTGTTCATGTTGGGTTTTTTTACAAGATTTTCTTGCTCAACATTCTTTTGACTGCAGGGTCAGTCTTGTACATAACTGAACTGATATTTGGAACTAATATTTATTTTTTGGAGTCCCACTAATTAATGCTTGTTCACTTTCTATATGTTAATATGATCTATTAATTGTTAGCCTATAAGCACTCGTCATTTAACCACATTTTGTATTATGTGCAAAAGAGGGGGGAGTTCTCATAAAAATACAAAAAAAAAAAAAAAAAAACTCAACCATGAGTGGCCGCCGCCACCTACCACCACCCACCATCATCATCCATCATCATTATCACCATCACGATTGCTGCCACCACCACCTATCGTTTTGGTGCTGCCGCCACCACCAAAAGTTGTGCCCCCACCACTGACGCCGCCTCCACCAACCAACCACTACCGCCCCCACGGCCACCACCCACCATCATCTCTCCATTCCTCGTAGGCTCATAGTATCTTTTTGATTTGGTTAGTCAACATATTGCTGCCCGATCAACCATTTAAGTTCATATCAAGATTTGTTACTTGGAAAAGTTCTGTACACTGCTTGGCACTTAAACTGCAAGGTCTCTGGAGATCACAAATTGACATGTATATGACACATACCAAATTGACTCACCAAAAACATAAAAAAGAATAAATTTGCGCACGTAATTTTACTTGTATATAAAGAACTCTCTGTCGTCTGTAACCAAGTTAAATCATCATGTTATGGGACGTCAAATTTGATAAGATAAATCATCATTTTATTGAACTCTCTGAGAGCTTGAAACAGAATAAAATTTTGCTGGGGACCTAATCCAATCAATCTCTCTTCAAATACCTACAACTTTTTTTTATTCTTTTCGGAAAGAAGTATGATTTCATTAGCATTTTGGAATACTACATACTTACAAAGGAGAATAGGGTGTGCACTAAACGGGCCGTGGTAAAAACTTTGTCGGAGATTTCAACTCAGTTGAAGGAAAAAAAAGTGCCACGGTCCAAAACATTACATAGGATAACTTTTCTTTAAAATCATGTCTGAAGACTCCTCAAAACAAACTAAATATTCTGTCACCGTCAATTCATTTTGTGCTAATCTATGTGCAATGCTGTTAGCTTCCCTGTTCTTTTTTTTTAAACCACAAAGTCGAACCCACTCCAGCATTGCTATCATGGAAAGTGACGATGAGGTAAATTTATTGAGAGAAAATAAAAGTACATATGGCGTTAGCTTCCTTGTTCACATGATCGTATTTGACATGTTGAAAGATGGCCATGAAGGATCTAGTATCATTGTGCCAGGTCCAACCAATGAGGAGTTACCAGAGGAATGCTTTAAGGAATCACTTTCCAAATGCCTGCAATTTCTCATGGTAATGGTGAAGATGATCACAATTTCAGTTGAAAGTTCAGTACGGGGGACGTTTATGGTCGACATTGATCCTCCTTTTCGCTTCGATCGATAGAATCCCTGAAACGATAGACAGATTCCCGATTCAGCAACTTCTCTAAGACGTTTATCTAGAATTAAAATTTCTGAAAAACAACTAATGAGACCTGAAGATGAATTAAGCTGACAATTCTTTGGTTCACATTCCACGAAAAGCTTCAGCAACTAGGACAATTAGCAAATCCTGTGTCGTGGAAGTTGGATTTCAAACTTAGTTACGTTTGAATTTGACAACTAGCAATAACAAATTCAAGCCTTTGAAACTATACCATAGATATATCACTTCACATGTAATGATGAATACATATACCTGGTTTAGGTAAAACCCTCATCAGTCAGTAAAATAAATGCTGTTATCACGGTTCGTCGAGTGTTGATGATCTTGTCTTCGGCTTTCCTAGTTCAAGAAGAAGAAAAATAAACAAAACAAATGTGATATCATAATAGCCACAGACCACAGTTGATATTTACGTACGCAGATACGTAAGAGCTAAATTACCAAGAGAAGGGGAACATGTATGTATGATGTTTGGGATGTGAGAAATCTAGGGCGGCTCCATTCCACTCCCTTGCTCGAAAAGCATCGGACATCTATAGATGATAAGTTCCTGCAGTGGGATTTTGCACAGAAAGTCTGGCAGTGCTTTTATGTGCATGCAGTTGTTAATTTGTAACATGGAAAGGCATGGCCTGATTTTAACGTCGGAATCCTCTTTTTATCATCCTTTATGCCTTCCCAGTCTTTCAGTGCACTCAGGTCCAAGCAATGAGGAGTCAGCAGAGGAATGCTTTGAGGAATCATTTTCCAGTGCCTGCAAGTTCTCATGTCATTGGTGAAGATGATCAAAATTTCAATTGAGACTTGAGTGGGGGACGTTGATGGTCGACATCACGCTTTTCGCTTCGACAAAATCCCTAAAACAATAAACGGATTCCAGATTTAGCAACATCTCTAAGACATTTTCCAAGAATTAAATTTTCTACGAGACATCTAGATTATACGTACATAAAGCCAAACAACAAATCTCACAAGAAACCTAAAGGTGACTTCAAGTCTTCAACTAATGCTCCTTATTTTGGCTCATATCCGCTCAGTATCTCATATGCGAAAATTTGAGCAACTAAGATAAGCAAATCCTTGCGCCGTAGAAATTTGATATGTACGGATGAATGATTACCTAAAAGCGCGTTATAAATCAGTAAGATGTGCACAAGAAGTTAAATCATCATTACTAATTGGATATATATAAAAGAGAATTACCTTCCCAAAGAAGATTAGTTATATGCCGAGCTAGCGAGTCACCACTTGATGCACATTACTCATGTCCTTTGAAGATCAAATGAATTCTGAAGAAGAACAATAAGCAAATTAAACGAATATGATGATAGCATTGTTAATTGGTACATAGATAAATGTGTAAATAGATAGAGCCTGTTACCAGGATGAGATTTTAATGTTTGGGATGTGAGAAATCTTGGGCCACTCCTCTCCACTGCCTTGTTTACAGAGTGTAGAAAGTGTGCGACATCTCTCAATGATAAGCTCATCAAGCGGTGTTTTGCAGAGGAATTCTGGCAGTGTTTTTAGAAGATGACATCGACTAATTGTTAAGGAGGAAAGGCATGGCATGATTGAAATTTCAGAATTCTCTTTGTTCCACCCTTCCAAGCCTACTTCCCACTCTTCCAACGCTGGCATGTAACTAATTTCGAGTTGTTTCAACTTTGAGAAAAATGAGGATGATGATGATTTCAATGATGTTTCATCTTTGTCTACTCCCAAAAATTCACCGCCAACCTTTTTCACCTTCTTCATGTCCCATAGAGTCAGTTTTTCAACGCTTGGCAATTTCCCAAGAGGAGGCAAAAACTTGCATTCACGCCATCCCGATAGAAAGATGATTCTTAAGTTGTGCAATGACATCATCCAGTTGGGGCAGGTGTCGCCTGAATGATAAGAAATGCTTAAAGATTTCAGATATTCGTACGGTCGTAAGACATTCAGTATTTCAACAGTACTGCTTGTCTGCTTGTATTGGACATCCTTAGAATCAATTTTGAGATGAAAGAGTTGCTTCATGTGCCACAATTGTGCTTTCTCAAGCTCCTTCTCATCTTTCACATTCCCCTTCAATTTTAAGCTGAGACTGCCCTGGAGGTTCAAGGCTCTCATATCTTTCAGTTTTAATGCTGCTACGTCCTCATCGTCACCACAAACCACAACACACTCATCTATTTCTTTCAATTCTTTTAATCTCCGAATCCCTTTTGGCAAGTACTCCAACGTATGACATCGATCAACATAAAGGTGCTTTAAGCTAATCAACCTTCCTATGTTATCAGGTAGTTTTTTAAGTGAATAGCAGCAACAAAGGCGCAAGGTATACAAATTGTACAACTCACAGATACTGTTTGGCAATATTTTCAAACCACCATTCCATGACAAATCAATATGCCTCAAATGTATCAATTCACCAATTTTCTCTGGTATTTCACGAATGAAATTGTCACTCAAATTTAATGTCCTAAGACATTTCAATTGTAAAATGAAATTTGAGTCTATCGTAGCAATGGATGAACCAAACGTCGAGTATGAGATTTTTGTTGTGAGCGTACGCAGATCTTTGCAATTGTAATATGCATTAGAAGGTGGAAGTCGGATATTGTCCATTGCCAATATTACGGTCAAATGGCGAATCTTTTCACCCAAAACCTCTATTTCATTGCCAACATCCTCGATGATCAAATATTCGTTCTTGGTGAGAGATTGCACAAAGTCATGAACAATATCATGCATTTTGCAACCTATAATTTTACCACTGACATTATCTTTCTTCAAATCTTGAAAAAAAGATCGTGCTACTAAGTTATCAAAACATGCTTCCCCAACTTGCCTATCTTTAATCCCTTTTGAATTAAGATAATCTTGTGCTATCCAAAGATTAATTAATTCATCTCTCTCATACTCGTAATCTTTAGGAAAACTAGCACAATATAAAAGGCAACATTTAACTGCTGGTGCCAAATCAAAATAACTTAGAAATAGATGTTGGAAAACTTCTTGCTCCACTTCTTCTCGCTCCCATATCTTACTGTTCAAAACATCTAACCATTCCCTCCTTGTTTTCTTATTGTACATGAGAGCGCCTAAGGTTTTTGCAGCAAGAGGCAAACCTTTACATTTTCCTACAATTTCCTTACTAATATCTTCAAACACCTTAGACTCATCTACTTCTGTATCAGAAAATGCCATGTGATTGAAGATTGACAAACAATATTCTTCACTCAGCTCTCCCAAATTAACCATGTCACTTGCTGCTCTCATCATATCAACAACCTCATGCTTTCTCGTGGTCACCAATATTCTACTGCCATGGGCACCACTTTGGATTAGTGGTGCCCTTAAGCGTTCCCACTTTTTATTGTCGTCGCTCCACACATCATCTAGAACAAGGAGAAACCTTTTGCCCTCGATGGATCTTGACATGCACTGCAAGACATGATCCAACTCGTTTGAACTTGGGGTGTCATCATCACTTATGGATTTGGCAATCTTAACCTCATCAAAGGGGTCTGAGACACAAACCCACACTCTCTTATCAAAAAAGGTTTTAACTTTGACGTCATTATAAACTAGTTGGGCCAAAGTTGTCTTTCCCATTCCTCCCATCCCTAGAATAGGGATGATAAGGAGCCCCCTCCGATCACCACTCAACAACTTTGCTATCAAAATGTCTTTTTCTTTTTCTCGACCAAATACCTCTGACATGACGACGAAGGACGAAGTCTTCCGCCGTTCAGGTAATTGTTGAATGCCTCTCTCTATGTGTTGAAACTCATACCTCTTTCCTTGCTCATCAATCGCGCTTAGCTTAACATTCAGATCTTTTATCTTAAGCGCAATGTCAGAACGGAGAATTACCCGTCTGACTCTGCCAAAACAAAAGCAGCTAGGGGAAAGAGAGAGAGTTACCTTCTTCTTCTTGTTGTTAGGAACAACAGCATCTTCACCTTCTCGTTCTTGCTTCTCAACCTGTTGTCTCAGCATGTCGGTGTTCCACTCGTCCAGCACGTCCACCATCTGGAAGGATATGTCTTTGAGCTGATCCAACCAGATCCTCACGCTGGCCTCCGTCACCTGCCTTTGCTCCGCATCTTCGAGAACTACTTGAATAGCTCTGAGATTGCCAGCATATTCTTCAATATGTTTTTTGGCATTCAAAACATGTTTCACCTCTCCGTCCACATATTCATAAATTGTTGAAGACAGCCGATCTAGTAGCATGGCAATGATCCCGTCAGCCATTTTTTCAACCTCAGAAATCTGTTGACAGTGGAAAAAGAAACGATGAACAAGAAATGCAGGATGGTTTGTGGCATTGCCTCTTTCTATCCAGCTTCAATGATGATTCCAAGTCGATCGAGTCAAAGTAATGTGAATGGTAGCTGTGCTGTCATATCTGTAGAGGCCCACTCCAACGCACACCACCGAAATAAAGCCATGAGTGAAAGGAAACAAAAATCATAGCTTAATTGACCCTACCATTTATAAAGACAAGCATTCAATTACTTTCTGGTAATTTGCATTCAACTCTAGCTCCGTTTTTACTTTTTACCATCATGGTAGTCCTTAAGTAAATTTTCATCTGGAGCATTACCAGCCGCACAGCCGAGGATATCGGATCTCTTGGTCCTTTAATTTTTTCCGTTGTGGGCGTATCAACTCACGACCTGAGAGTCGAGCAAGTAAAATGTGATTTTAGTTGCACTTTACTTTGACTTATGCGATTGTGGATTTAGGAAGGAACCCGTCTCGACCGTAGACTCGTAGGTTTGCCATGCCTTGGGTGCAAGGACTTTTGATATGCGACAAATGGACGTCGAGATGGGTGTTGTCCATGTGGACACGATGAGTGAACGCAGGGCCGGTCTAGAGATTTTTGAGGCCCGGGGCGACGTAAAAAAAAGTGCCCTAACTTTATGTAAGAAAATTATTTATTTTCACACTTAAGACATCGAAAAAATTACTTAGAAAAACAATTCAAACTTAATAATTTAGAAACACAGAAAGATTAATTTATTTTGTATTGAGAGATGGAAACAAAAAAACTTCGAGCTTACAAATAGATAGATGATGAGTTTTGTTTTCCATCTGAACTTTGAATGTGTTTTTGAATAAATCGTGAAATGTTTTTTTCTTATTTACTAACCTTGTCAATATGGGACTAAAAAAATAATGATGTTTTCGAGTCTTTAATTGATATTCATTATTAATGAATGGACACTAAATTAAACATTTTGATGACACATCATATAATTTGCAAATTTGGTCTACGTATTATTCTTTGTTGAAGATTAGACTTGAATTAAAACGAATATTTAAAAATAACAACTCACATAACTACTAGATAGTAACTAAAAATAAATTAACAACCAAACAAAAATTTGTAAAAATTGAAAAAAAAAATAAACATGCACATAGCATTTCGAACTTAGGACCTCTTGTTAATTTTAAACAACAAAAATTATTGTTTCTAATTAAACTTTTTGATCATTTAACCAAATTTTATAATTTTATACTCTTATAAAAAGAAATTTGTAAAAAATGGAAAGTAAGCACACATGGTGTTTTGAACCCAAGACCTCCTCATTATTTTCAAATGACAAACCACCACTTCTAGTTAAATTTCTGTGTCTTTGAACCAAATTTTATACATTTATACTCTCATAAAAATATATATAAATATACCGCCTTAATAATTTTGGTGCCCCTAATTTTTTTGGGCCCTGGACGGTTGCCCTGCCTGCACTGGGCCTGGGCCGGCCCTAAGTGAACGGATGGGTGGAAGTGAATTTGGTGATTGATATGGTGAGATGGAATGTATGAGAAGGCAAATCACATCAGCCCAAATGAACTTGTTGAATGGATCGAATTGAAAAGTAATTTGCAATAAAATAAATTGCGAGAAAGTAAGTAACGATAAAATAAATTACGAGAAAATAAATTCCGATAAAATAATTAGCAAGAAAGTAAATTGCGAGAAAATAAATTGCAAGAAAGTAAAGTGCGATAAATAAAAATGACTCTAAGTGCGAGAAAATAGATTATGCTAGGTGTGAGAAAATAATGTTGTACGACATTTCAATTGCAAAATGAAATTCATCTATCGTCGTAGGAATGGAAGAACCACACCTTGAGATTGAGATTTTTGTTGTGAGTGCACATAGATTTATGCAATTGTAATATGCATTAGAAGGTGGAAGCCATAAATTATCCATTGCCATTATTATGGTCAAATGACGAACCCTTCACCCAAAACTTCTATTTCATTGCCAACACCCAAAGCATTGATGATCAACAGGGAGCTTAAGGGGAAGGATCCCCATTTTTTCAAAAAAAATGGGGACACGCTCCCCACCGTTAGATTGACTTTAATGAAATTGTGTGGTTGAGATTAAAACACAGGCCATAGAATCTCAACCACATGATTTCATTTAATTCAAATCCAACGGTGGGGAGCGTGTCCCCATTTTTTTGAAAAAATGGGGATCCCTCCCCTTAAGCAATTCCTGATGATCAAACAATATTTGTTCTTGGTGAGAGATTGCACAAAGTCAAGAACAACATATTGCAACCTATAAATTTACCATTAGCACTATTTTTCTTAAATCTTGGAAAAAGGCGGTGCTGCTAAGTTATCAAAAATGCTTCACCAATTTCTCCTATATCCTTATTCCCTTTTGAAAAGATTAATCAAACATTTTCTCTCAAATTCATAATTTTTAGGAATACTAACACATTATAAAAGACAATATTTGACTGTTGGGACCAAAACATAATAACTTAGTTATAGTGTTGAATTTTTTTTGCTCCTCCTCTTCTTAATTCCCATATCTTACTAGGTTCGTGGTGGTAGCATTGTAAGTTATACGAACATGAGCCACCTTCCCGTTGTTGGCAACAGGATCCCAACTTGTATGTACAACTGAGGAGAGGGTGCTGTTAGCGATCCCAACGTGTGGCCCTGGCGGATCTATCCACGGATCAGACCTGCTATCAAACTCAACCAGTAAGTTACCAAAAAGTAATTGAATGCTTGTCTTTAAGCTACGATATTTTTTTTTTACTTTCCACACATAATTACTTTATGTGGAGTGGGCCACTACAGATATGACAACAAAACTACCATTCACATTACTTTTGACTCGATCGCCTTGGAATCATCGTTGAAGGCTTGAAGCTGGATAGAAAGAGGCAATGCCACCAACCATCCTGCATTTCTTGTTCATTCAACCATAGCGGGACAGGGTCCCAACGTGCTGTTGAATTATCCCAAACGAGCGCCGGCGGAGTTAGCTGGAATGGGAGAGTGAACAAGAGCAAGACAAGTAATGACCGAATTTTACGAAAAGCTTCTGATACTGTTCACTTTAACGAAAAACCACATTTTTAGACTAAAAAGTCAATCATGGTATTATTCACTTTACCCTTTATTTTGTCCTTATCGTTAAAAATTAAAGTTTTCAAACCATTTTCATTAGTTTTCCATATATTTTATTTGCACATGTTCTTACTAGTAAAAACATGTTCAATATTTGAGCTGAATATTTACACATTTTCTTACCGATAAGAACACATGCATTATCTGAGCTAAATATTTACACAGCTTTTTACCGGTAAGGACGCTTCATATATTCCTAGATTTTTTTAATATTATTCCAAAATAGTAGGCGAAGTGTTAAAAAAAAGGAGTTTTAACAAACACTTATAGTACTGTTCATTTTTAACGAAAAAACACATTTTTACCTTTAACTGTCACTATTCACTATACATTTCAAAATGGATTTTCATTAAAAGGGAAGTTTTTTTTTGACTTCTCGTTAGTTTTCCTTAAAAAAAATGCATGATGTGTAATGACTTATCTTAACATGCTAACCCTCACATCGTCATCATCATCAATGGTGTTTTCGATCTTTGCTTAATTTAATGATTCGTCATTATCATCGTGCATACCTAGAAGCTATGAAACACATTGATATCCCCGTACCCCCACAACACGCATCCGACTTATTGTACATGTCACATGCAAAGAATAGAATAGTGCAACAACTCTCTTAGATTTTTCCTAGGCTTGGATGCAACTGTTAGTCTGTTACAGTAAAAACACGTCGATCAATCTGCCGCTAAAAAGCCTTGCCTTCACAAATCGAAAAAATTGGAAAAGAAAAAATAATTCTGCAGACTTTCTTCGTTCGGATGCACAAAGTTAGGATGTCTCTAAAGCAGAAAGGTAACGTTTTATGTTCCATCAGTGCCACTTGAATATTTCCTACCTTTATCTCTTCATGTTCATCGTTTTTCTCTCTTATTGCTCATCCAAATTTCACACATGCACTTTCATTCACCATATCGGGATTCGACGAAAACTTAGTCTATGAAGGTGATGCCGAGAAGGGATTCGGAGTGCTGGCCGATTTCAAAATAATTGATGAGTTATTTCGTGTAGGACGGTGTACATATTAGAGAACCTTTTCAACTTTGGAACTCTAGGACAAGGACACTGGCAGATTTCACAACACATTTCACTTTCACGATTGATAATCAGAATCACAGCACCAAATATGTTTCTGAAACCTAAAACAGTATTGAAGTGAGTGATATAATACTGGCGATGTTCTCTGCTTTTGAAGTTTCTGTATTAGAACGAACGGAACAGTCGAAATGAACTCTGGGAATAAAAAAATATCAGACGAATCATGAAATTGTATGGGAGCAAAGAATGTTTCATTCGCTACACACTCCTAGGGTCAACGATGTACTGTCAATACATATTGCATCAGATTCTTCCTTGGATCGCACTCAACTATTCGGTTATTACTCTACGGAAATTCATTTTCCCTAAATTCAGAGGTTCTTATATCCTTCTTCAAGATTATCAATTAATCGAACACAAGGCCAGAAAAGAAAGAAGAGTAAAATTGCTTCTGAAAATAGTGTTCAGCAGCATACCGCTGAACAAACAACTAAAATTGGCACCTTACCACTGGAAACCTCTGAAATAGGAAAACCCCGATGTAGTTCTGACATGTAGGTGCACAGGTTGCAATAAGTCACCGTCCCACGCAAAAAAAATTGAGTGCTTGGGCTGAGTTCAACCCAGCATTCCGGAAGAAGGTATCGTGTCACCTTCGTAGATTATGTTTTCTGTATCCATGTTGCATTCACTTGCACCGAGTGAAAGTGAACGTGCGAAATTTGGAAGAAATATGATGAAAATGAAGAACTAATGTACCAACGATTCACTGTTTAACTGTGCAATGCAAACAACTAAAAGGAAAGTCTGTCTGCATTAACCTGTATAAAATTAAGTGTTCTGATTTATGAAGGGAAGGCCTGCTAGGTGAAAATATATCCGAGCCAACGAAGAATCTAGAAGAAAGTTGCTGCATTACATACAGCGTAAAATTGAGCTGGGAAAGAACAATGATATGTATCCAAAAGCCGACCATGACCAAGGATCTGCTGCATTGTGCTGCGGGGTTGCGGATGTATTGACGTGCTTTCTCACGGATCCAATGTTAGAGCAAATGCATAAAGGATACCAAAAAATACTAGCATCCGAAAACGAAGATGGTAATAATTCTGACATTATTGGATTTGAAATCATACAACCATGAACTAAGTAGCTTGAAAATACAACATTTTGTGGTTATACATTGAAAAATGTAAAAGAAAAAGAAAAACTATTTTCAATCGTGCTGTAATCATACATGATCATGAGGCAGATGATGATCATATTCGTGCATGTCATGTGGAAGTTCAGGCAATGGCGCTTCGAGCTGAAGAACCTTCATCACTTGTCCGGCTTTTGGCCTACTCTTGCTGTTGGGATGAGTGCACCATAATCCGATGACCAACAAGCATTCCATTTCATTTGTATCAAATTTTTTATCCAATCTCTCATCGGCTGCAAAGAGAACATTTCCTGCAAGGTACAGTTGCCAAACCCAACTAACAAGTGGCACGTGAAGTTCCCCGTCCTGGTAAGTCATCCTTCCACAAGCAATTTCCAACGCCACAACTCCGAAACTAAACATGTCAGATTCCCTACTGGCCTTCCCTCCATTTGCATATTCCGGGGCAATGTAGCCAAAAGTCCCTACAGCTCCTGTTGTCTGAGTCTGGGAACATGGATCAACAAGCTTAGCAATCCCAAAATCCCCAAGCTTAGTTCCGAAGTCTTTGTTCAACAATACATTGGCCGATTTGATATCCCTATGAAGAACGCATTGCTCTGCATCTTCGTGTAGATAATGAAGCGCCGAGGCCAAGCCTAAAGCTATCTTATACCGAGAATCCCACTGCAGGGTTGTTTTAGATCCAAACAGATGCGTGTCGAGGCTGCCGTTAGGCATGTATGCATAAACAAGTAAGCATTCGCCTTCTTCGTGACACCATCCAATGAACTGCACCAGGTTCCTGTGTATTAACCGGCTTATAATCTTGACTTCGTTGATGAATATCTTCTCATAGTAATCAGATTTTGCGAAGATTCTCTTGACAGCAATAGCGCAGCCTAGATCTTGCAACATTCCTTTGTAAACATGTCCTGACCCCCCTTGGCCTAGCCTTCCATCGCTGGCAAAGCCATTTGTGGCTGCAACCAATTCCTTATAAGCAAATCGCCTAGGGAAAGCACGTTTCTCGAGATCCTTATTTATGGAGGTGATCACATCCTTGGAGCAACTCTCAAGCCCGTCAATCCTGCGCATTCGCTTTGTTACAACCAACCTACACAAACCCACACCAAGCATCAAAACTAACAAAGTAATACCAGCAGTTGCTGCTATTAACAATTTCTTCATCCTCGTATCCTTGGTTTTCTTACTGATCTTATCAGAATCCAGATGCGAATTGAATTCCCATGAACATATGACATGTTGCTCGGGGGCTCGTCCTGTAGCAGCTGAAAAACCAATTGTAACCCATTCAGGGAGAACCTCTCTTAAGTCAATAGAGTGTGAAAGAGAAAAAGTACTGTCGATAAAAGCAGGATTAGGGTTCTCCTTGTATGTCCAAAACACGCTGAGGTTGTTTGTGGTAGCATTGTAAGTTATCCATGCATTAGCCACCTTCCTTCCGTTGCTGCTAAAATCCCAACTGGTACTCACAATTGAGGAGATCTTATTCACATTGATCCCGACATGAGGCCCGGTCGGATCCCACTCGTTCGGGAAGGAATCAAACTCAACCGTTACAATTTGGTTTTTCGATGCCAACAAATTTGTGCTGCTGTTGAACAATCCTAGATTGCCACCAGCAGAATTAGGTGGAATTTGAAAGCCAACAGGAGCAAGGAAAAAGGCAAATCCGTCACTCCACCTGCTGTTGTTGTGAGTGTCAATCATGAAAGTGAAATGAGTAGTGAAGTCTGCTACCGACCCGCTAGCAGACTCCCATAAGTGCAAAGGTTGTGAATAAGTACACCGCCCTACGCGGAACAATTGAGAGATTGTGTTGAGTTCTACCATTCCTGATGAAGGTGTGGCATCACCTTCATAGAGTATGTTTTCAGTATTGAAGTTGAATTGAGGTATAACGAACGAAAGAGGAGGTTTGAAATTAGTTCGACGAGAGAAAATTGGCAGAAAATTGATGAAAATGAAGAGACAGACAAAGCAAATGTTACAAAATGTTACCTGCCTGCAGCTTATAAGTAACATGGTGATCTTTTTATGCAGAAATGCACGTACAATTCTGCAAAATGCGAAGAATCGAAAAAACAAAGAAAGTCAACCTTACACAGAAGTTATGGTGAAATCTGAAGTCAAAGGTTGTAGCTATGAATGTTCATGAGTCGAGAAGTATATGAGGACTAGTGAAGATTCTCTTTGTTTTTTTTTTCCCCTTAATATTTATTTGCATAGAAACGACATGCGGATTAGTACAGAGGGAAAGGAACCAATGGCGTACATCAGAAAGGGTTAGCCGGCCTGTGGATTTAACGGCTTGTGAATTGGCAGCACTAGCTCTATAGAACCCAGGACGGCCGGCCTTGACATGGTCAAGCATTAACGTGTTTCAGATCGATATCTACAATTATATTGTTAGTGAAGGGATATTATGCATATGTATATTGTACTCCTCACATATCAATAAATCATGAAGTTTAAACTTTCGACATGGTATATTGGAAGTGATGTATTAGACGTGATGAAAGTGGCGGTACATCACTTTCATCATGTTAAGTACATCACTCACTTCCATCACGTCCAGTACATCACTTCCAATATGGTATCAATCGTTTAGGTCTTTCCTCTTTTTTGTTCTCGGCTCTCCCTGACCCTAATTTTTCCTTGTCTGTTTTTCCCCTCCTCCATGGCTACAGACACCTCTTCCTCCTCTACTTCTGCTGGCTCCTCCCTCTCGAGGCCGAATGTGACTCACTTTCTCAAACTCACGGAGTCCAACTATCTTCTTTGGATTTGTCAGATGAACCCGTTTTTGGTTGGCCATGATTTGTTCCCATATGTTAATTGTTTGAATACTTCTAGGGCGGTGGTTATGGACCACGACAATGACAACTATGGATCATCAGTAAACTAAAATTGGAAAGATAGCAATCCAAATTGGCTAAAATTAAAGAAAATCGATATCTCTATTGTTGATCAAAATTAAATATCGACGACAGTTGTAGTAAGTTTTGGTAACACCATGCTGATAGCCTCATACCACAGTTTTCGGTGTCTTAAATCTCATAAAACTCAACTCGACATTTCTAACTAAAAATATCAAAATTAAAATGAATAAAGAAATCTGAATTGAAAAAATAAAAACACGTACATGAGAAAATTCACCTATCTATACTATTATTAAGAGAACCTTTCTTGTCAACTTTTTTCTCATTTTTTCCTATTTTGCCCTCACTTTTGATACACCCTATTGACAAAAAAGAGGGCAAAATAATAATTTTGTACATTTTAAATAAAAATGACAGATCAAATTAGATTGTTCATTGTGTAGTTTAGGCGAATTCCTCAGTCTCTTAATGTAAAAACATCAAAGTATAAAATAAAAAATAAAAAATAAAAAATAAAAACCAATTTCCCAATACTATGTGGGGTTAACAAGAAATCCGCATACATGATGGATGCATACTTCACCGCACCCGAAAAAAGAAAAGTAAATATATAAACAAACAAAAAAATTGAAAGGGCTGCCTCCGCGACCAAACACCTCGGGAACTCCTTCCCTTATTCCGGATTAGGGTTAACTCTTTTGGCAATCACAGATCTTCCCAGGGCGCCAAGCAACCCCCTCGGAAATCAGACTCTCTCGCGCTCAGTAGAAACTTCACAGGTAAAAAGCACCAAACTTTTTCACCATCTGCTCAAGCCTTTGAATATATATGCTTCTAGCCTTCGTCTCTGTATCAATATCGAACACTTTTTTCTCTGGGTTCTCGAAATTTTAGCTGCCCTGTATCAGTATTGGTAGTTTTGGATACGGACATTGTCGGAGTAAAAATCCCAATTCGAATTGGGAATTTCACCTTCAACTACTGTGCTGCATTGTCATATAATGGAAAGAAAAATGAAGCTTTTAAGGCTTGCAGAGCTAAAGATTTCAGCTTTCAAGCTTTTGCTCATTTTTTCTTTGTTGGGTTTAATGGATTTTCCGAAAATGTGGCAAATTGATTGTAGATTTCATGAGATTTTTAGCGGTGTGGCCGAAATGCCTCTACATGGTAGTATGATTCCAACAAAGTTATAACACGAGTATTTGTTTTTCATTAATATATAGCGAATCAACCTTGTCGCCCATTCATATTATGACGCGTGGAGTGGTAGTAAGTGTTTCGGGTACACATAAGAATTTCTCGTTGCTTATCTGGCTGAAATTCTACTGAATGTGCCAATGTTGCCTGTTTGGTTTTAATAAATTTAACATTTTCATTAAAAGAAATGGTATCAACCCTGTGTTGTGCTATGTATGTCAGTGTTGATTGGAGGAGGAGGAAATGGTTTGCCAAACTGCGGCAGCGAATAGTGATCGGTCAAGGACGTATTGGACTCCAACGATGGAACGATACTTTATTGATCTTATGTTGGAGCAATTGCATAGAGGAGCTCGTGTTGGCCATACTTTCAACAAGCAGGCCTGGACCGAAATGCTCAGCGTGTTTAATGCACAATTTGGCTCTCATTATGACAAAGATGTCTTGAAAAGCCGGTATACGACTTTGTGGAAGCAGTTCAATGATGTGAAAAATATTCTTGGTCAGAATGGGTTTTCTTGGGACGAAAGTCGTCAGATGGTGGTAGCTGATGATTACATATGGGATGCTTACATCAAGGTGCAGTTCTTTCCCTACTCTTGGTTATTTGTAAAACTATCTATTTTGTTCTGTAACTGTGAAATAACATATAATGCATGTAGGTTCACCCGGATGCACGGCCTTACAGAACTAAACCAGTGTTGAATTTCAATGAATTATGCCTCATTTATGGCTATACAACTGCTGATGGAAGATACAGTCGATCAAGCCATGACGTAGATTTGGATGATGAAGGTCAAGGAGTAACCACAGGTTTGTATCCTTTCCTTGTCATAAACCTAAGACCAAGGAATGTACAATGTACGATTGATGTTTCAGTTTAAGAGACTAGTGTCAGGTGGTTAGTGTTTGGTAGTGTGCTGTTGTTGTGCTTGATGAGCCGATCAGGATTTATATAGAACTCATTTTTTGTATCTTGAGAGGAAGTTCTGGGTCAATCTTCAAAATGGTAGACATTGTTACAAGTTGGTGATCTGCTTATTGTTAGTCATAAGATAAGCAAAACAAGTATCGATGGCCTGATCATCGGAATTTTGTAACATGACTGGCTTAACGTGATGATAGTTGGCTTTCAAAAAGTACTTGTGTTACTACATAAGTTGACCTTTTGCTTTAATGTGACACATTAACTTAAACATTCCTCAATATGTAGGTGACGGAATGGGCAGCCTTGCTCCTTCAAGTAGCGAGCGCCCAAGGACAGAATGGTCACTAGAAATGGACCAGTATTTCATTGACATTATGCTGGAACAAGTATCAATTGGCAATAAGCCTGATAATGCATTCAACAAACAAGCCTGGACGGTAATGCTTGCCAAATTTAATGAAGAATTTGGACCTCAACATAGCTTACGGGTTTTAAGGCATCGATACAAGAAACTGTTGAAGTATTATAGTGATGCAACAATTTTGCTAAGACAAAAGGACTTTTCCTGGGATGAAACGCAACATATGATTGTAGCTGATGATGAGGTTTGGGATGCATATACAAAGGTACACTGATGACAGTTTCATCATTGAGTTATATATTCTTGGTAGGTTTTTCTTTTCTAATTCTTTTTGTTATCAACGACTGATTGATGTAGTTATAATAGGTACGCCCTCATGCACGGACATATAAAACAAAAGCCTTGCCAAATTTATTTAGCATGTCCCTGTTATTTACAACTGAATGTGATCTTGGCACCGACAATCATTTGCATCTACAGAAAAACCTTGATGATACTTCACACGTCAAAGCTGGTGAGTTACAACTTACAACACGATGGTCATAAAGATAAAGAAATCGCCAGAAAGAGAAATGGGAATCACATACTGTTATTTGTTTCTTTATAGATTATGATATGTTAACCAACGATATATGAAAGTAGCTGAGTTTCCTTATCACCAACAGAGAGGAGTTTTTAGAGTTTATCGATCATGAGAAATTTCTTCATTCATTCTTTTTTTTTTAAAGGGAAATGATAAACACACACCCTTTTTAGCCTCTTACACACCCCTATTTAATCATGGCCTTTGATTCTGTTTGATTTATTCAATCCATGGTTAGAAAGAAAAGGGGTGTGTGAGAAGCTAAAAAGGGTGTGTGAAGCACATCCCTTTTTTTTTTTATAGCTTTTTATATTGTTAAATGACTGATTTGAAAACTTTTCTGTCGCATGAAATGTCTGCTTCCTTTTCTTTTCATTTTCTTTCTGGTCCCTAACTCTTGTCAAGAATGAAGGGATTGCTTCAAGTAGATCTGATCTTTATTTCTGTAGGGGAAGGAAAGGGGAGCCAGACTCCAAATGTCAGTGAGCGTTCAAGGACATATTGGACACCAATAATGGATCGTTACCTCCTTGAGTTGTTACAAGACCAGGTGCACAGAGGAAATAAACTAGGACAAACTTTCATAACTCAGGCTTGGAATGACATGGTTGTATCTTTCAATGTGCGATTCAAATCTCACCATGATAAAGATGTTTTGAAGAATCGTTTCAAACATTGGCGAAAGCAGTACAATGACATCAAGATTCTTCTTAAGCACGGTGGATTTTCATGGGATGAATCACGAGAAATGGTAACAGCTGAGGATAGTGTTTGGGATGGTTATATTAAGGTAAGCTTCTCCTTCTTGATTAACACAAAAGTTTGTTCGTTTCCTGCTACTTACATATAATGCATGCAGAACCATCCTGATGCTCGATCATATAGAGTTAAAACTATACCAGGCTACAACAAATTGCGTGTTATTTTTGAAGAAGAAACATATGATGGAAGATACAGTCGTTTGGCGTTCAATTCAGATCCATCTGGTGAATTAGCAGATTTGATGACTGGTATGCTATCATTACTTTCTCATAATGGTCTGATTTTTAAGTAGTGTGCAAGGCAATTTCGAGAAAAAAAAAAAAACCAAGAAGAATAAGTTTTGTATTTGAATGCCATTTCTAGAAGTGTACTTATTGCACTGTGTTTCAAACTTAAAAGACAATTTAAATGATCTTTGCATCCTCATGTAGGTGCGGAGAAGAATGACACGCCCTACATTCCCGTTCTTCCTTTGCCAATAGATTGGACACCAACAATGGACCGTTATTTTATTGATCTTATGATAGATCAGCTGCATAGTGGGAATAAGATTAATCACACATTCAATGAGCAAGCATGGGCTCAAATGCTTGAATCATTTAATATGAAATTTGGAATTCAGTGTGATAAACACGCTCTAGAAGATCGATATGCATGCTTGGTGAAGCAGCATGACTGCATCAGCAGTATTCTCACTCATGCTGGATTTATGTGGGATGAAACTCAGCAAATGATAACCGCTGAAGATGACATTTGGGAAGCTTACATTAAGGTACGTAACGCGTTCTGTTGTTTTTATCTTGACAACTTGTTTATGAGTGGAATGAACCGACCAATGTGTGATGTATGATGTGTTTGTAGGAACACCCAGATGCTATCTCCTATAGAAATGCATTCTTAGGTGGTTATAGCGATTTGAGCAAGATTTGTGTAAATAGAGAATTAGACGGAAAATTCAGTGGGCAGGGTGTAGGTATGCAAGCTGGCCCTATTGTGTTTGAAATAGAGATGAATGGAGCATCTGGAGATCTGCAATTGTTAGCCGAGGACGTTGAAATATCTGATCAACAGAGAAAGCGACCAACTTTGACGCCACCAAACCCAGGACGCTCCAAGAAGGCACAGAAAACAGGCAAGGATACGCAAAAGGCTCCAACTGAGATGGTAGGTGGGGTTACAAAACTCGCAGACAATAAGGAGAAAAATAACTGCACATCAATAGAAAAAGCAATCGATGCACTTCAAGCTTTACCAGGTATGGATGATGAGCTTATGTTGGATGCTTGTGATCTATTAGAAGATGAGAGAAAGGCAAAGACATTCCTGGCCTTGGATGGGGCGCTGCGCAAGAAGTGGTTACTGAGGAAGCTCCGTCCGCGGTCATAAGCTTTAGGGTTTTTCGGTGTAACCTCGTTTCACATTCCGGTTAGGGTTCCGGTCGTTTGCACTGTAAATTAACTTAATTATTTTCCCTCAAAGCTTTGAGCGCCAATAACGAATCCAAGTCCAATAACAGAATGACCAAAAGCATTGAGCAACAGTATCAGTTTGGAAACCAAAACGAAGCTTTGAACTCGACACTAAATAATCATATACATTTCAACAGTTGGGTAACAGAAAACTGCGATCGAACACGGTCAAATAGAACTTCAAAAAACAAAGGGAAGAATCTGATGGCTTCATTTCGAGATACTAACCACTCTCTCCTGGTGGATTACCAAACCAGTACCAAAGTATGGCATTACAAAAAGCAATGAAGATGTGATGCCTTCGAAGCGAAATCGTTATATAATTGCCAAGAAATAGAGGTTAACAAGAACTAAATTTCCTGTTACACGATGTAACTATCACTAGAAAACACACAACACCTCGCCAAATAATTCTTCTTCCAAAGCAGTCTCCAGCTTAACTTCCATCTTGGCCCCCAACATCATCTAGAAACACTGCATCACGGTTCCAAAAAAAAACGACCCACGGGTCTCAATTTTGGAAACTATCGATTAGATTCCCAACTCTTTTCAAGGAAGAGTTGTTCAGGATAGATAGACTCATTTCATTCTTCTCCTCCGGTCCCTGTCTCTTTCTCTGCTTCTCTCTCTCTCATGGTCATCCCTGTCTCTACTTCCACTTTTCTCACGATCCCGATCCCGGCCTCTCCCCCTATCACCTTCGAAATCACGAGGCCTATCTCTGTCTCTGTCCCGCTGCCTTTCCCGGTCTCTGTCTAAATCATGTTCCCTTTCCCGATCTCTGTTTGATGATCTTTGTACTGGACTATCACCTTGGCTTCCACTGTGGTGCCGCTTTCTTGAAGCATCACGAGTATCGGCATCCCGTCTGTCCCTCTCTGAGGATGTTCTCTCTGAAGAATACATAGGGGGGGAATTATAAGATACAACTGAAGCATTATTAAAATTTAGGAAAAAAAAAAAAGACGAGAAACAGTACTTCAAATAAATGTCACAAATCTCAGCCCAATGTTGTACGTATTAAGTTAATAACTACAGGAGAACTTACTACTCCCAGAAGCATCTTCGCTGGAATCTAATAACCCATATTCTGACTCCAGCCGTTTCCGATGCAATACAACCTTCCTTTCAATTTCTTCGGGATTTTTTATTCCTCGCTCCTCAAGAGATTCACGATATTCTATCAAAGCAACTTCCAAACGTCTCAACTTTTGCCTGCAGTAAAACAGTCAAGCAAAATATAAGTACAATTTTGTTAGGTTCCTTAAAGCATTGACTCCAAACAAATGAAACTGCACACACCTCTGCTCCTCACTAATTCCACTGTCAGGTTGTGCTGGAATGCTTGCATCGTTTGCAACCTCCATCTCATCAGCTTTACTGGGACCATCACCAGCATTTTCACTTCCAGAAGATGAGTAGCTTAAACCAAGACCCCGAGCACTCTGCTTTTGTTCGTCATCGCTATCATCATCCTCTCGCGCCCATTTAGAAGCGGGTAGAATAGGATCACTCTTCTCTTTCTTGGTAAAAGCTTTTAGTTCAGGCTGCGGAATCGGAAAGGTCTGGGCCAAGGGTAGAGACCCCTTCGCTTGAGACTGTCTCTCATCCTCTGCATAACGATTCCATCCAGACATTTCTACTGGGTCTGGTTCAATATTTGTTTCTCTGCGGCTACTTGAATTTCTGGCTGAACTTGAATGCTTCTGAGCATATTTCAAGTCATCATCTAGTTCATAGCCCCTTTGTTTTTCTGCTTCTTCAAGACTAAGCAATCGTGCAACCATTGTTTTGCGACCACCAACAAGAGACAATCCATTATGTCTGCAGCGTCTTTCCAACTCAGCTAGGGGAAGACTCAATAACTCCCTCATAGCTGCTCCTTTGCCCATTGCCAGAGCAGCATCTTGATTGGTTTTACTAGCATCACCTGTATCTTCGGAAGTGGTTTTTTTGTCTATTTCAGGTTCATCGCCAGATATGGAGTGAAAGGGGACCACACCAGAGTTCCCAGACCGAAGAAAAGTAGCCCGCAATCCATTCACGTAAGCATCTGAAAAAAGAAACCAGTCCGACCATACTTGCAATACTTTCAGAACTCTTTCCTGAAGATTTTCAAGTAAAGTTCAACAAATGTCAGAAAAAGAAAAAAAATATATGATGGGCTGTCACTACAGCAGAATGAAACTACCATTATCATACCTTAAGGGCCTCAGCAGTAATCCTTCCTGTTATACTACGATACAAATCATTAAAGCTCTCCATTATGTCTGGTAATGAAGCTTCAAATTTGGTGCGGTATGCAGATGCATTCTTTACAGGAGCACTGCTATTGTGAAGCACATCAGAAACAAGCATAAGTCTTGCTACTTTGGTTGGGATAGGGGTCTCCTTAAGAGTCAAAGACTCTGTAAGAACTTCAACTATCTGCAACACAAAACAGTCTGAGAAATGTGTACACGCAGAACTGGTCTTTCTTTCTTCCTTTTCTTTTCTTTTGATACTCCCCACTGGTTAATAGATCTCTGGTAATATCTGTACAGTTAAATAAGAAACTGACAAGTGACTCTATTATTCGCATTTACCTCCCCAGCTGCATCAGCATTGTCCAATGCAAACCCCATAGCATCCTTTATCTGACTCCTCTCTAACGTTAATGCACGTAACATATCTTCAAATTCATCCCTCTGTGAATCAGTAAGTGTTCTTTCTGGCTCTACACGCTGCAATATTAATGAAAAGAAAGTTACACCATGAGAAAACAAATGAAATAAATTCATCCTGCTAGTGCATGTGACAAGACAGTTACCCTGCTTCTTCCTGCAGCATATGTTGTACCCGCCTCTTTTTCATGTTCTGGGCTTTTTACTGTTGGCAGAGGTGGTGGAATCCATCTAGAAAAATATACAGTAAATATACAGACGGATCAGTATTATGGTCCAATGCACCAACTTACTTCTCACACCTATGGTCTTAAAATAACTCAATCATAGAAAGAGGAAAAAGTAGGTTTGGTTTACCTTCCACTACCAGTAATCATAATGAAAGGTTCTGTTCGCCACCTTTGTAGAGTATCACCCTGCATTCATGACATTAATATAAATCTTCAGTCCCTTAGGCTACAGATATTTTATACTAAGAAGCTTCAAGAAGCAATAGCTAAGATCACTCAGCAACCAATAAAAGACAAGCTTAAGTCTTTTTACTGAACTTCCTAGGAATATGATGCGTGTGTGCATACACATAAGACAAAGGATTTACCTGAGCAAACGAATAGAGCCTCCAAACATAGTAAGTATGCTCTTTTGAGCCAAGCTCAAACAAGAAGTTGAAAAGAGGATTCCCTCTACCTCTCTCCATAATAGCTTGTTCAAAGGCACATCCACCATCCAGAACATACAAAGCCATTGTATCAATCACGTGGCGGAGGTGATCATCCTCGGGTGGAACAACCGTTATATCAGGAACATTTGGAGTAAGAACCTATTCATCAAAAAGACATCCAAAGATTGGCAAGATTGCAATATTGGATAAATAAAAGTAGTGACTATAAAAGAACTAGGTAGCTTACCAGTTCAGAATTCTGACTAGGAACAGAAGTGACAGGTGGGCCTGACGGACCTGATGGACCAGACAAGATTACAGTGGCACCCTGTCAACAATAAAGAATGTTAGCTCCAACAATCCATCTGAAGCGTTAAGTGATGCTGAGAATGTCAAATCCTTGCTGCCCAAACAATTAGCCAGGATGCTTCAAACTTTAGGAGAAACAAACAGGCAAACAATTTACAGCTGCAAATTAATTTCAAAGCATTTAAGATGAAAATGAAACAAACCTCCTTACTCCTGATGGCCATATGTCCTGGAGGGGGAGCAGGTAGAGCTTGTGATGGTAGAGCAACAGACTTACCCCACCCAATCTTCAACTCATACTCATAAACCACCACTCCTGCACAACAAAGCTTTTTGTTAATTGGTAATTACTTTACTATCCTTCATTCCCCAGTACACAAAAGTTTATAGGATGAGAAAATAACATCAACTAGCAATTTGTTCTTCAAAGTTAATTTAGTGTGATCAGTATAAACCGAGCAACATGAGATCCAAATAGGATAACTTTATCTTCGCAGAGAGAGCACATATACATATTTAAAACATCTACCAAGAGGAAGCCTCAATTGTATGGTAACTGGAAGTAACCTTGCATTTCATCCTTTGCCGCCTGCCCATCAGCTCTGTTCATGAAAGCTACAAAGCCACAATTTCTTTGGCGCCTTCGCTCCTCTTCTGTCCTAGGCCACATTATTTTCACACTAGCAATAGGCCCAAATCTTCCAAAAGTTCGCAAAAGAAAATTTTCATCAACCTAGCCATACGAGAAACATATACTCAGATTGTCAAGTTCTTTGTATCATATGCAAAAGAGTACAAAGTCAAAACAAACCCTCCAAAAAAATGGAGAAGAAGAAGACCAAACCTTTGGCGACAGATTTCCAACGTATAGATTAGTAGTTTGTGGATCACCATCATCAAATGATCCAAGAAGCTTTCCACTTGGATCAAATTCATCAGGAAGTTCATCAAAGCGACTGGATGGCTGAAAGGTATGGCCTAATGAACATATGTTTTTCAAAAGGAACTAGAAAACATATGATGTGCAAGATAAAAGATCTGTATGACACAGTTATAAAGTAAAGACATAATGAAACACAAAACAGAAATTTTAATAGGAACCACTAAATAATAACACTACAACAACAACAACAACAAAGCCTTTTCCCACTAAGTGGGGTCGGCTAAATAATAACACTAAACAAAAAAAAAAAAAAAACATGTACTTCAACAATGCCAAAATGTATTTGCATGTATTCATTAAATAAAAAACCTATTCTTATAACAAGGCTCAAATGCTAGAACAACAAAAAATGCATTGAGAACTGGAAAGTCATTTAGCCAACTCAAAACAACCCATGCTAAAGTGAAGATTTATCATCCAAATCACCATTCCTAGAAAATTCAAAACCAGAATTAATTAGGGAAATACGTACTGTAGAATTCT